CAGTGGTTACTACACAGCAGTGTCAGAGAGAGCCTTGAGAAGATATAACAGAAATACCATCATAGCCAGAGGCAGTTTGTCAGGGGACCAGGGCATAAGCCAGTTGCTCAGCTTGTGATTGAGAGAGAAAAAAAGATTCACTTCCTGAGCTTTTGTGTTCTTGCTATGTCAAGTTTCTTGATAACTGGGGAATTTTCTGTGCCTTCAGGTAAGCCCACATATCTGTTTGGAATAACAGAGAGCAGAAGGTGCTGTTGTGAATATACCTGGAGATACTGGTTTTCAAATGCCATATTCGGATAGACTGATGAAATACATCAGCTCACAGTGATGCACAGCTGTCACTTATATCCAAGTGCTTGGATGACAGTCTTCTTGCCACTCATATTAGATGGACATAGAGAGACAGTTACCAGAAGTATTCTCATTAAGTATCCTGAGGCCTGAATGAAAAGAGGTTCATTTTATTGCAAATGAACAAAACCGAAAAGCTGGCAAAAAATTATGAGTCTTTATTTTTGCCTTTTTTTTTTTTTTCCAAAATAGACAATCCGCAATTAAACATATTGACAAACAAAAAATTATGAGTCTTTATTTTTGCTTTTTTATTTTTCCCATAATAGACCATCTGCAATTAAACTTATAGACAGACAAACAAAAAAAGATGACATACAGAAAGCAACGGAACAGAGTCAATATGACTTAAGGACTACAATGGCCTTGATTTATAAATAGATTTCCCCAAAATATAAGCTTCTGCTCAAACACTTGCAGATAATATATAGCCCCTTCTCTCTTTCAGAACCATTTCACAGTGAAGATTTTATTTTTGCAGCCATTTTAAAGCCAATATCTGAACACAATCCTTTCTAGAGTTTGCCTTAATTTAATGAAGAACGTGATAGTATACGAACCATAACCATCTGAGGTGAACTATAAGATGGAGGGAAGATTAAACTTCACAAGGCATTAACTCAGCCAGGCCTCCAACATCTGAGAACCAAAATTACTCTATTTACAGAAAATTTCATAGAATGTAAAACTTTATTAAAGTATATTTCATTGCTTTTATTCAATAGCTTTCCTTTCTGTGGAATTTGAATTTGAGCTTGACTCAGGTCTAGTTAATATTCAAGTGCAGCAGACATATGCCTTAGGTCATGTGCAGGCTTTGTAGCCTTGCTTAGGCTGACAATATATGTATATGTGTGCAAATAGCAGCCTGAATAAATGCATAGTGCATTTAGGAGTAATTGCCCAAGTATTTAGAAAGCCTTTCACAAAGAGAAGAATGAGAACAGGTTATAGTCAGACCAAAAATTGTTTTTTCACATGCCTCCTACCAGGGCAGTCTTGGACGTGCCCGCAAAGGAGGCAGAACAGAATGGCTAAAGGCTGGCATGGTGAACTTGGAGAGAATAACGTGCACAAACCAGTCGTTTGTGTGTGCTTTGAGAAACACTAATTCAGAACTACACTCTCAGGATTTCTAAGGATTCAAGTCTGCATTAGTGTGTGTAAGATGACTGTTTCATGATGTTTTTGTTGTTGTTTTCATTTTTATCAGAGATTAAGGCTTTCAACCAGGAACATTCCCAGGACCTCAATATCAGATGATCTGCTTCCAAAGACAAAGCTGTCCTTTCAGCAGCGCTATGCACTCCCTTCAGCAACAGTGTTTTCTTATTTGAAAAGTAAGTTAAAATGGTCCTATTTTTGAAACTTATATCTATTTATATAACAGTAGTTGTTTTGCTACAAAAATCTGTTGAAAACCTAACTAGGTTCCTTGCAAGAAGGACAAATACAGGCTGTGTGAACTACACATTTATATATAAATAGCTCAATTTTGTATATATAAACTCTTCTTCATTGCTGTTAAATACTATAATATACTTCTATCTGGTGTCTATGTGTGTTGGGCATATTATGAAATGGAAAGCATGAGAGAAAAAATGCTAATGTCCTTGTAAAACATTTCAAACAAAGGCAAACTTCCCTTATTGCAGCAGTCTTTAGGAAAGTTTTATGGTCACTGTGCATTTTCTTTCACCCCATGTGATGCTGATGCTGGTGAAAATGCTAGCTAAGTAAAACATGCACAAATTCCTAAAAATTAGTCCTAACTTGCAAAAGGTAAAATGAATGAGGCATTTTAAAACTGATGCAAGGTACTCAGACATGTTAATAGCTGGATGCAATTTACATGTAAATAAAATTCATTGCTTGATATCAAATCTCAAACCAGCAGTCTTCTACCATCCAACACTAATTAAAATTACTAAAATGTAAGCACAAGGGATGAAGAAACTCGAAAGGCACTGCACTATAACTCCAACATGCATTGTTTTATTTGACATTTTCCCTTCTAGACCTAAATCCTGACAGTAGTTGGTGACAAGAACATAGTAGTTTGTATATTTATTGGTCCAAATAGGGTGCATCAATGCTACTGGGAATAACATCTTGCCAAAGGCAAATTCTTGGGATGGCAAAACCCAAACATATTACAAAATAAGAAAAAACACAGTATTTGAGCAGAACAAAAAAAATCAGGTTAGTAAATATTTGTTAATATATATTTATTATATAAAATGATCACTTAGTTTAGTAGTTTCTGCATGGATTCATTATTATAGAAGTCCTGTTGAATACATACACATATAAGTATTTAAAATAAGATGAAGTGTTCAGATTTATGCATCTTGCTGTACAGAGTTTATACAAACAAGTGCTTCCAAAAAGCAGAAAGCAGTCATCTAGTCATTAAACTCTTCTTTACAGTCCCAATGTAAAGCAGAAGCCAATTTTGCTGCAAAATATCAAAATTCAGGAAGTGAAAGCTCTTAAAATAACACATATATCACATTTAGTCAATCTTTGCAGTCCAAACCCAATTAATTACAGTTGCCAGCTGATGCTTTTAAAATAAGTTCTGACAATGTGTTTATGGTAATGTCATGATACTTGCTCTTAGTAAGTTAAGCACCTCTTCTCACACAGCTTTCACATACAGTCTTACACTGTGTGAACTGGAATAGCAAGAAAATGCTACTGCTACAGAAATTTATGTAAAATGTATTGACTTACACTTTTATTAGATTTCATGAAGTATGAAAGCAATGCTAATGTTTTCAACCTCATGCTACACTCTTTCTTAAAACCAGTATCATTTCAGTCTTCTAAAAAGTCATTAAAAGTGGTTAAACAAAAATCGTTATACTGACACCAAAATTCTTCCAAATAATCTGACGACATACAATTAAATTCCTTAGATAAAAGAAAGCCCACTGAACACTCCAGTAGAGATTTTTTTAAAGAAAACTTTCAAAGGTTTGCTCAAGGACATTTCCACAATCACAAAACAGATAAAGAGCTTATTTGGTTCTGTCTCTTCTTTAAGTCATAGTCTTTTGTTTATGCTTCAGTCTTTCCGTAACAGCTGACATGAGGCCAGAATCACTACTGCAGGTAAAGAAAAATCAAGTATTTGAAGAGCTTCTAAGTAATGCTAGGAAAAGAAAAATATTAAAATTCTACCACTTAAGAGTTTTCCTGACATTGTATGTGAGAAACCTTGGACTTCAGATACTTCTTTTTACAGTACATACCCTTTCAAACATGGAGAACAGATTTGCATTAGCATTTGCACAGATTTTCATATGCTTTCATATATATATTTTGTGCACTTTTAGTATTTACTCCTGGTGGTATTTGTCTACATAGTAGTAACATCCTTTTTGCAGGATTATTAAATACTGATAACTTCTGTGGCAATGAGCAGACATTAAAATTTGAACTTAATACACAGCAGAGAAAGCAAGAAAGTCTTCCAGTTAGATAGACCTGAACCCATCAAGTAGACATGAATTCAAAAAGGGGAAATGACTGGTCTGTAGCTAAAGAAAAGTCTATAGAACTAAGCCATCATAACATTATAATACTTTTTATTATTCTAGGCAAACTATGTCTAAAAGTGTCCATTTATCTAAAAAAATTATTGTGAATTTGTACATATCTGGCTAAATATCATAATATTTTCTAATTTTGGTTTGGTTTTGGGCAGAAGATGGACTTTGGAATTCTTCAATAACGTTAGTAGCTTAAAAGTACTAAATGTATTTTGATTTTCTTAAAGAAAACTAAGCTACATCAGTTAAAAATCTTTAGTATATGAGTTTGCATTTTAAGGATAAAAATTGATGATCATACTAATATCTGTGAAGTGTTACCACATAGATACAAAGGCAAAAGTCATCTGTCCCTCCTACAGGATATAGTCCCAAAGACTTCTCTAGCACGGGTACTTCCCATGGCGTACAGTCCTGCAGGAAAGGTCCATGCTGCAGTTTTGCACTGTGGGTCACCTGTGGGTTACAGACAACCTGTTGCATGGGCTCTTCTCCTTGGCCCACAGCTCTTATTAGAAGTCTGCTCCTGCAGGGGATCTCCACAGACTGCATCTTCCCTCAGGGCCCATGAACCTTCTCTGGATCGTCTGCAGGCTGCAGCATGGATACATTCCACAATGGTCCTTCATGGACTGCTTCAACTGCCCTCACCATGATCTTCTCCATAAGCTGCAATGGCACGTGGACTCACCTCTATCCCTTCCTTCTTCATTCAGCTTGATGTCTGATTAGTAGTTTCATATCTTCCTCACTCCTCTCTCAAATAGCTGCTGCACAGTATTTGTTGATAATGTTATTGGCTTAATAATAAAAACTTATTTTTATTTGCTTAAAGAACATTGACCTCAGTTACACCAAGAGCATTAGCATACTTGCTTTTCTTGAGTATGTTATCATTCTTAATTAAGTTATAACATACCCATTATTAAATATGCTGTCAGAGGCAAAATCTGTGTTACCAATGGGTTGTTTTAGACAGTGGTGGCTCTGGTTTGAGCCAACTGAAACTGGCTTTTTCTGGTATCTCTATCCCTGGTCTCTTCTCACAGATGCCATCTTTTCCTTACATTAGATTCACCATGGTAATACACCCTTCAAAGTGCTACATATGTCTTTGAACCTACTGAGACAAAGGAGGGATATGAAATGAAGTTCTTCATGCTCTGCATTCAACCTCCAGAATGTTGCAAGAAAAATTGCCACTGAAAAGCAACGCCAGCAGCCCAGCTTTGAATGTGACTCTGCCAACATGCTGGAAGTTAGATACAAGAATATTTATCATTCCTAGGATTTAGTGGATTTACAAGTGGAAACCTTACTAGAGGTGTTTGCTGAGCTTTACTGTGACTCTGCTCAGATTTGTAAAATTGAGCTGGATTTTCCCATACTTAGACCCTTTCCATGTCTGGAAAATAAGAATAGTAAACTGCTAGCATGTGCAGTTTTCATTCTTTCCAGCAAAGTGATTTTAAGGATCAAAGTTCTTTACTGTGATGCTGAAATTCTTCTCCTTCCTGCGTTTTTGGAGCTGTGTCTTAGTCTGTAGGATTAGTTTCTTTTTTGTCTGGCCTAGATCACACTGATCCTGTCCTGCAGGGAGTACAAGCCAAATTTAATAATTTTCCCCAGCTTTGCTTAGGATTTGGACATGGGAGCAGCTTCTAACACTTATTCAGTGTTACGCTTGGACAAAAGCAAATAAGATAATCTCTTTCAAAACCTGTGACAAGAACAGTTTATAAACTAGCAAAATGTAAAAGCAAAGTCTACGTATCCTACCAAACTAATATTTCTACCCCTCTGAAAAAAAAAAAAAAAAAGAGAGAAAAGTAAGGAGAGAGAACTGTTCTAATTTTTGAATTAGCATTTTTCATTCTATTGGAGGAAAAAAATGAACAAATTTAATGAAATTAAACAAAAATGAACAAATGAAAAAATTAACAATATTTTTCATTCAGTAAAACTCACCAAGAAGACTAAGTAGCATAAATGGAAATTAAATATTCAACCTGAAAATCTTTTTCTTTTACACATGTATAATCAAAGTAATAAGACTCATGAACTATTCCCTTGCCTTGCCTTGCCTTGCCTTGCCTTGCCTTGCCTTGCCTTGCCTTGCCTTGCCTTGCCTTCCCTTCCCTTCCCTTCCCTTCCCTTCCCTTCCCTTCCCTTCCCTTCCCTTCCCCTTGTCAAAAAGAATAAGATATAATCTGTAAATTCTGAGATTAATGATGCAAATAAGCACGTAAGAGTGTCATTGGTTAATTTTGTTAATGTTCAAATAAGTAGTGAATTTAATAAATGATAGAAATTTTATAAATACTGAGGGAAAATTTAGAATTCTTGCATTATCTTATACTCAATTATTATTATTATACAATAAATACAAATTATTGTAAAAAAACCCTTTATAAATATCTTATGATTCTAACCAGTCACTCTAAAATGAGTTCAACTTGTGCATGCTTGCAGAGAGCATTAAAGTATAGTAGGAAAGAGATTTTATTTCATTACTTGGGGGAAATAATAATGCAAATGGGCAGTTTTGGGCCCCCTTCCAATCAGCTTTGGTTTATTCTTCTGACACAGAACTCATACCCAGCAGCACAAGCATAAGCACAACCACTCCAAACCTCATCTCTATTCATGGAAACCACTTCACAGTTTTCCTATGAAAGAATCCTAGCAGAGACACAGACCAAAGCACAGGGTAATTCCTTTTTAGAAGGTTATAAGAGACTATAAATCTGTAATCTGACCTTTCAAACCCACAGAAACAATATTTAAGCAGAATTCTCACTTAAGATGACCAAGACACTGTTTATTTCCAAAAAGACTAATTGCTATGACTTATAGATCTTGAAGTAAAAAGATAATTTTTCTATTATCTATACTATTGGCTTAAAAATGAAACTTAATAGAAGCTTTAAAGCAAACAGCAAGTTATTTGTAGTTATATATAGATACATATATTTATAAAACTTAACAGAATGAAGACTCTTAAAGAAAATGTGTTAATTTGAGGAAGACATTAATTAATTTTTATGGTAATTTTTAAGAATGTGGTGGAATTTCTGATGGGAGTTAAATACAGAACCTGATGACTTGGACCATGGGAGACTGAGAGCAAATGGGAGAGGGTTGATATGGGACAAAGATTTGGAAAAAATGCACCTTTCTGATAGAAATCTTTATTGGGTTCTAGCACTCATCTAACTGAAATAGATTCATGGAGCAACTCTTTTGAAACAACCAGATTAATGAAAATTTTTCTCATTATATATTGTCTGTGTACTTCAGAGGACTAACTTTAGTATTAATTCTATGTTGTCAGGGCACAGACTAGGAATCTTTGGACTATGGGTGAAAATGCATGAGTCACAAATGTAAGATTTCTCAAACAGAGCTCTGAAAAAACAAAATATTTTTCTTTTCCCCCAATGGAATGAATGTGTTACATGTGACTCAAGTAAACCTACCATGAAGGATATATTCTAAGGAACATTCTGTTGCTAGTTTTACTCTTGGTGTAGAAATAATAGGATTCCTTATTATGTCTTAGCTTGATTAAATTGACCACATAAGAAACATTCTTTTCAAAGAGCTCTTCAGCTAAAACTATTTAATGCATCCTTAAATACTTCAGAGCTGACAGGTCAGTCACAAGGAGTCTTCTCTGTAGAGCAGAGACTGTGAAGTCTTAAATCTGTAGATTAAGCAATAGAAAATAGAGCAGGCAGCCAGCTTTTTTATAACAATAATTAACAGCTCCCTAGGGTTCAGTCTGACAACATGTTATGTCAGTTTTTACTGATGCTTGTCAGATGGCTATAATATTGCAGGAAACAAACTGTGTAAAGACCAACAAATACCTCATTATCCTGCGTGTATATAGCAAAATACAATGAAGCCCTCTTAACCTGAATAAAGAGGAGCCAGGTTGTCAAAAGAATGAATGCTTGCTGGTAGAATCTCTAAAGTATGTCGTGGTAGTCTTTTCACTTAAAGTCAATTTAGTTGTGGCATGTTGTTTATACTCCTGTAGCACACCTTGCCAGCCCAGTGCTTTATCTCTGCACAAAGCCAGATGAGTGCTAAATTTTCAATATTAAACTCTCGTGGAGATAAACACGCTTGAACAGAGACCATCCCCGATGTTCCAGAGTTTGCTTTGCCATTAATCTGCCACAGTGTAAATTCACTCCTAGGTAAACAAATGACCAGGAAATGTGTGTTCCTGGTGTGAGTGCTGAATATGGGAAACACTATTTTCTGTGAGAGATTACATGAAAAATAAAAGTGTATAATACAGTTCATGATAATAAAAAGCTCAATAGCATCACCTCACCTGGGTGTCAACTCCAAATTCTAATTAAACCAGTATTTTCCTTTTCTCATTACATTTTACACACAGTAGCAGATTTGGGAGTTGCGATATCATTCCTATAAAATTTACTTTTTACATAGATTTGAATCCAATTTACAAAAGTAGAATTTGGTGAAATATCCTTTTTGTTTGTTTGTTTTAACTAAGACTCAAACCAGTAACTAGCTACTGCTCCATAAATTTACACTATTAAATAGGACCTTAGATATTTCCTTATCCTTACTTAGAGGATTTTCTGAGGATATTAACTTCAACTGGTTGTGTTTTATACTTGTTAAAAAATATAGTATTTCTTCCACACAACTGAAAACTTTCTGTTTGACTAATGCTTGAATTGACCTATTTTGCCATTAAACTTTACTGTACACATTAGAACTTGAAACACTTTGACCCTTCTTCCAATGCATGGTGTCTATGCAAACGGGTATTTGTATGAATATTTTTTTCTTCTATGTCTCTCTGGGAAGAAAATACTATTTAAACACAGAATGAAAGGAAGAAGTGAGAATATTTAAGATTATTATTATTACAGATAATATTAAATATCACTCTTGTTTATGGGAAGTTCAGTGTTAAGTAGGAAGGGACAGGTGTTCTTATAATCTGCTTATTTAATAAATTTTTAGAGAGGAAAATGAGTACCCAAAATATTGTTTAGTTAGCATTTTATGAATTGTTCCTAAATACTTTTTTTTTGTAATGTTATTGCTTCCTGATTATTCACAAGCAGATCTTCAATCTCTGTCCTAACCAGTAATATAATCTCTCAAAATTAAATTACTTAATTTACTCTGAAGCGTAAGTGTGAAACGTGAGTTCATTTCCTTTGATACCATTAAGCAGTAAAGAAGAAAAATAAAATCAAGTGGAGAAAATAAGTCAAACTAATTTATTTCTATATAAGACTGTCTATACCTTGGGCAATCAGTGACTCAGTAGGAGAAGCTGAACATTGAGCAGGGAACTCAGAAACAGAGTGAGAAAACAAAAATGTCTCCAGGAAACTATTAGTTTGGCATATTGGCTTTGCAGTAGACAGTTACTTTGTAAAATTCAAAGTAAACTGTGAAGGTATTTAATTTCCTTTCAAAGTTTATAATTTTTTTTTATTTTTAATGCCATAGCAGTGACTCAGAACTTAAAGAAGTCCCTCAACCCCTTGGCCTGCAGTATTCACTATCTACTGTGTAGACACAGAGTCCTTGAGCAAAACATCTGCTACAAGATTAATTCAAGAATCTCTTCATAATTTCTCTCTTGGCTTCTTTTTATTCAACAAGCATTAAATCTCTCTGTTTCAAGATACTTTCTCATTCAATAATGGGATCAATTTCAAGAAGAGTTCAAAAATAAGTGTTTAAATTCTTTTCACTAAAGTGTAAGAAGAGAGATTTGAAGAGGAAGAGTTTCAAACATCAACGATAAAGTCTAATATAGGGTAAGTGTTTACAGTAAAAGAGTAATGCCTGGGGTTAAAATTAAATCATATAATGATTCCTTCATTTATTTTTTTTTTTTTTCTGTAAATGGGAACTGTGCAAGGCCTCTTTCTCTGTAACTGAATTATTTCTAAGAAAAAACAAAAACAATCCACAAATAATTCCTCTTCTTCATTGGAAACTATGAGTGGACTTCTGTTTAAGGAACATTTTGAAAGTGCATTCAGGGTGAATGAACATACATTTATTGATAAAGACATTAGATAGATCCCTCCCAAAACCAACAAATCATATCATATTCCAGTCATAATCATATATTCCTAGTTCTTAGTCACATAACATTGATCTTCTAGTTTTCTAACTTTTGAAAACTTCTGTAATTTTATGGGATTACCTAATGAGATCTTGATGTGGTCTAACACATTTGAAGATGTGAGGGTCTGAAACTCCTAACATATTATGATTATGACATTTAGTTTTCTGCAATAGAAATCACACAGAACCTTATGCTACAATTGCCACATGAAAATCTCCTCAGAAGCAGTGACAATACATGTGTAACTGAGAATGTGACACTATGACAATAGCATTTACATTTATAAATAAGGGTATAATTTTACTCTCAGTCTTCATTTAATGAAAGAACTGAAGCATCTCATTTTCATTCTCTTTGCTCTTGGAACTGATAAGCATTTTTCCACCTTATGCTAATTCTTTGTAGACAATATTTAAATTAAAAAAGTAGTTTAAATGTCTCCATGCAACTGAGAATCAATGAGAATAAAATAAATTAAAGAGAATATTTTTTAGACATAACTTTCAAATGCAATGTGAAAAAAAGAGGTTATGTGTTCCTGAAGAGTGAAGCAATGGGCATATGAATTGGGTGTTAGCACCATTTCTGGCTTGTGCAAACCTTTTTTGCATAAAAAATGATGTCATTTTAGCTTTTTATCAAACACTTACAGCCTCTGTCAA